CTCAGTGGATTGAGCACCAGCCTGCGAACCAAAGGGTCACCCGTTCGATTCCCAACTGGGGCACATGCCTGGGTTGCTGTCCAGGCCCCCAGTTGGGGCCGCATGAGAGGCAATCACACACTGATCTTTTTCTCCCCCTTTTTCTCCCTCTCTTTCTCTGAAAAGAAATAAAATCTTTTTAAAAGGGGGGGGCGGAATATTAAACACTAAACTGCACAATGAACAGCCATATATCTACCACCTAGATTCAGCAATCAATATTTTGCCATATTTACTTTAGTTCTCTATTTGTATGTGTGTTTTGGGGGGTTTTGCTCAATCTAAAGCAAGTTATAAATTATCACTTCACTCCTAAATACCTCAATATTTATCTCCTAAGAAAAGTGACAAATCTCTTCCATGCCAATATCATTAACACATCTAAGAAAATTAACAATAATTCTATGGTTTCTCATATTCCATTAATATTCACATTTACTCAGTTCTCCCCAAACTAATAACTCTCTTTCCCCAAATCAGGATACATGCAGTTTTATGCCTCAAATGACCTTTTAATGAGAATCATCTCTCTCCTACTGCTTTGTCTTGGGTATAGTAATTTGAAGTGCCCAGGCTAGTTTTCTTGTAGAAGGTATCACCCTATGAGTTTCTCAGATTATTTTCTCCTGAACTAGTCTATCTTGTTCTCAGTGTCCTTAATCATCACAGAAACCATGGGCAACTCCAGTTGTAGCCAAGGAAAGGGACCTACCTCCCATCCAAGTCCTTGACTTCTGCCTCTTCTCTTGGGACAGTCTACTACCCCAGGCCAGGGGTCATGGCAGCATAGGTCCAGATGAGGCCAGTATAGGCGGTAGACCCTAGTTTTGTGACATAGTCTCATCTTCCCCATCTCTAACAAGGGGATAATAATAGTATGTGCTTCATGAGGAAAGGATTCTTTGGACGTGAGCATGTTCAGTTGAGGCTCAGGCCCACCCTAGGGGATATGCCCAGAAATGGCAACTGAGATCAGCCTTGGAGAAAGATTGGGCAGTGTGTTCAAGTTTCGGGGACTCATGTGGGAACTAAGAGTGGACTGGCTCAGTGGATTGAGCACTGGCCTGTGAACCAGAAGGTTGCTGGTTTGATTCCTAGTCAGGGCTCATGTCTGGGTTGTAGGCCAGGTCCCCAGTTGGGAGTGTGCAAGAGGCAACTGATCAGTGTTTCTCAATCTCTCCCTCTCTTTCTCCCTGCTTTCCTCTCTAAAATAAATAAATAATACAATCTTTAAAAAGAAAAAGGGCTTTGCTGAGGAAAGATGAAATCTGTGGTAGTGGGGTGCCATTATGGGAACCAGTGGTGTCAGGTACCTAGGGTATGTCCATGGGGAGGTATCCAGGAGACCAAGGGATGCCAGAGGCTGAGAGAAGAAGCCAGGGCTGGGACAGAGTTAGGGGCTTCATCCTGGGAATGGATGATATGATCCTAGGGTGAAGAAGGTAGTGCAACTAATTGAAAGTAAGAACGTTGGAGTCAGATGCCTGAATTCTATCCCAACTCTACTACTACTGGTTGAGTAATTTCGGGCAGGTGACTTGACCTCTCTGCGTCTCAGTGTAAAAGGGCTGTTAAGAGTGCCAGATATGCTAAAAACTCATGAGTGCTTAGCAGAGAGCCTAGCACAGGGTAAGTACCATACAGGTGTTGGCAGTTATCACTAAGGGGGCCACAGGCAGAGACTGCTAGGGATGCAGAGGGGCTTGGCGGAGGAAGGGGGGGATGTTGAGACTCCTCCGGAGAAGGCCCTTTAAATAAGACAGACACTGGGCAAGCATCTGCATCCTCTGACCTCTCTTTCGCCACCCCAGATGACTTCCGGATCTTCTGTGGAGATCTGGGCAATGAGGTGAATGATGACATCTTGGCACGCGCCTTCAGCCGCTTCCCATCCTTCCTTAAGGCTAAGGTGATCCGCGACAAGCGCACGGGCAAGACCAAGGGCTATGGCTTCGTCAGCTTTAAGGACCCCAGCGACTATGTACGCGCCATGCGTGAGATGAATGGTGGGTGAGGCCTCCCCTGGGAACAATGGGTGTGACAGATATTTGGCCTAAACCCAATCCCAAACCTGACCTTGAACCTCCATTCCCATAGGGAAGTATGTGGGCTCACGCCCCATCAAGCTGCGCAAGAGCATGTGGAAGGACCGGAACCTGGATGTGGTACGCAAGAAACAAAAGGAGAAGAAGAAGTTGGGCCTGAGATAGGGTCTATGGTTGGGCACCTGCTCCCACCTGGCCAGGCATTGGTTCCTCCCCAGTGTTCTCTTTGGAAAACCTGTAACTATCCACCCCACCATCTTCCTCAAAACCAGTTTCAATAAATTTTTGTTCATTTCCATCCCTGGCTGAGCTTGGAAACACTCTTTGGGGTACAAGGCCTTGCATCTCCCCACCTGGGAATAGGGTAGCCATGAGTTTATGCAAATGGTCATTTTTCAGTCCCTACTGAGTGCCCATTACATCTTCTGGAAACCTCTTAAGTGCACACTGAGTACACCCCTTTTCATGGAAGAGGAAGCTGAGGCTCAGACCCATGCTCTTCTTACTCTAGCCTGTGTTCTCAGCACCAAGGTAGGGGGTGGGAGGGTCTACTGGTCCCTGCCCTTCTGGAGCTCACAGCCTTCTAGGCTTTCAGCAAGTGCACCTAGGGCCTACACAGTGCTTGGAGACACATTGGTGACTGTAACAGTCCCAGGCCCTGTTTCCTCAGAGCTCCTGATCCAATGGCAGAAGAGAGGCCCATTGCCAGACAGTGACAGCTCAGAGAGGTCAGGGTTAGAGTAGGGGGACCCAGGGTGCAAGCTGGGAGTTGAGGAGGGCTTTCTGAAGAAACTGGCTGTTTCTGAGACTGCCTCATTCTCTTCTGTCATTCTTTCCAAGTCTGCAGTTCTCAGCCTTTGGATCTCTGAGTCTATTTCCCATTGTTTTCACTCTGCTGAACCCTAGACTGTCTTTGTGGGGGGTCTCCCTGAATGTTTCTTTATCTCCTCTGTTGAGTGGCCCCTGGTTTGTCTCTGTGCATCTGTATCTGAGTCGATTCTCTCTAGGTCTCCTCTCCCAGCTCCAAGTTTGTCTCTGCCTGTTGAAAGAAGATCCACACAGGAACTTGAACACCAGACTAAGAGCTTAGACTTTACTCTAATGGCAGCAACCAGCCCCAAGAAGCTGAGACAGTTCAAACAGGGAACCAGCGTCACAGATCTGCACTTTAGAAAGAGCCCTGAAATTACTGTGTGCTAAAGTCTGGAAAGAGGTTGAGGAAGAGGGAGATTGCATGTTGCCAGCAGGAGGGGATGAGGGTCTCCCAGGGGCACAGTGGTGAGAACCCTGGATTGGTAGGGGGCAAGAGAGGAAGGGAGAAACTGCCAAGGCCTGTCAGGGAAGCTAGCAACCCAAGAGAGGTGTTCAATTTTCCTCTGTTTCCGTCTTTCTGCTTTACAGCCCCCTCTCTGACGTCACATTTTCCAGTCTGTTCAGAGGATGAGGGCCTCCTCCCCCAGCAGGAAGTGCCCTTCAGATCCCTACCACTTGGCTGGACCACCCAGCTGGGGGACCCTCACCTGCACACTACTAGCCCTCCCTACTCCTGCCCTGCTTCTCACTAATCATGGTGGCAAGGGAGGAGATGGGAAGGAGAATGGCGACAGAAAGGAGGCTTTTAAAGGGTGCTTAAGTCTTCCTGAGGACAGGGAGAAAAAAATCAGTCATGGGTTCAGATGGACAGAGATGAAAGGGCGGGGAGGGAGGCAAAAGGATGAAGAGAGGTGAGAACTGTGAAGCAGTACAGTAAGACTGGAAACGGGCAGAAAACCCAGAGAGGGAGAGAGAAACACTCAAAAAAAAAAGAGACATGGAGAGGGTTGATGAATCTTTTGAAGGAAGTTACAAACATAGCCCGTCACCCATAAATATTTCAGTGTTCATTACAGAGACATCTTTCATATCATGACACCATTATCACATCTAAAAATCAGTAATTCTATATCTCTTAGTCCATTTATACTCAAATTTCCCATTTGTCCCAAACTATTACAGCATGGAAGGGCATGGACTCTGGAGATGAAGAAAAGTGGGAGGAAGCCTGCTTCAATTTCCTCTGTCATAAAATGGAAATAAGACTAGTAACTACCTCATAAGGAAATTAAACAAAAGGCCCATGGCAGTCGGGGGCATGCAATGAGCCCTCAACAAATGTTGGCTATTAGTATTACTGTTGTTTATTTTGTTGATACTACCGTTATCATGATTGATGCTCCTCTAGAATGTCCTCAAATCCCTGGGAATGGGAGACTCTGCCTGGTCAGGGATCCCAATCAGCCTCCCCCCACTCCATCTCCCTCAGTCGCCCTGTGGACTGTGACTGACGTAGGCTAACAGTCTGGCCGGAAATCCCCCCTTCCTGTAGTAGATAAGTCTGATGCAGCCCAGCTGTACCCAGGCCCTCCTTCCCCCAACCCCCTTCCATGTCGCAGGATCAAGTCCCCCAGATGGAGAACCTGTCTACCAAGTCCCCTGCCCCAGTGCCATCACCCCATAAACACCCCCTGCAGCCCAGCCTACTGTTCCTCAAGCCATTCCAGCAAGAAAGCCCAGCTACCAGGAGGCACGTGACCATTCCTGGGTTGGGGAAGTGTAGCTAAGCCCCGCCCCAGCCCCCTGCAACTTGACCCTAGCTTCAACCCCCAGCTCTGACGTCTTGGAAAATTCCCCCCTGCCCAGGTCCCCAAGGGAGGGGGTGCATGGTATGAAATGGGGCTGAGACCCGCAACTGGGGGCAGAGGAACCCGCCAGAGGTGAGCCATAAACTGGGGACTGGAGGTCGGGTGGCCTGGACTCCTGGGTCTGAGGGAAGCAAGGGCTGGGGCTCAGACTGCAGGGCCCTTAAGTGTCACCAGCTCACCCTGTCTTCCCCACCATCCCATCGCCCCTACCCCAGAACATTCACAACGAGCATCCATGGACTTGTGGAAATGGGATGAAGCATCACCCCAGGAAGGGCCCCCAGGGAACAGGCTGTCAAGGCTGGGTAGGCTGCTGGGGCTGAAACAATGTATATTTGTATGTGGGGGGGGGGGTGCCCAGGTGGGAGCCTTCCACTGACCCTGACGCACCCTAACCTCCTGATTGCCTGCAGAAGACCCTGAACTCAGCTTCTATTTCCCTGAAGTGGCACTCCAAGGGGACATGCTGACAGAGGAGCCTTGCTGGAAAGGTGTTTGTGGGTTGGAACCCATGGATGTTGGGGAAGGTTAGATCTGTGGGAGGAAGGGACCATGCCTGGACTTCCGGGGTTTAATGGGGAGAGGGCTTCAGGCTTGAACTCCTGAGGATGAAGAGGGGGCTGGAGTCCCGAGTCCTAGGTCTGAGTGAGTGGGGTGGGGGTGGGGAGTAATAAGGACTCTCGGTCCCAGACAAATAAAAACTACTGGGTGAGTGGTTGAGGAGGGTCTGTAGTTATTGCTCACACCCTCCCCTAAATTCAGCTTCATCCTTATCCCTCGCAGGATTCCCACAGCAGGACTGGGGCTCCACGTCACCACACCCAGAAACTCCACAGGAAGCGGGTGAGTGTGCGGAGACAGGGAAGGAGGAATCTGGAGTCCTCCACTGTGGTTGAAGTCTAGCCTCCCTTATCTTTGAGAGAGAACGGAAATAGGACTGGGGGCGCCTGTGTCCTCCAGGTGGCCTAGCCCAGATCCAGGAGCCAGGGCCCTCAGGAACCGGAGACACAGAGCTTCGACTTCTAGAACTCCCGAGGAGGCCGGGGAACGAGACACCGGGGCTCCACTGACTGGGGTCCGTTCCTCCCTCACAGAGCACTCCTGTCAGGCTCTTCCGTGGTCAGGAGACTGGTCACAGCTTGGGTGCACCGGCTGGGACCCCTGGAGCCCAGCCTCGCCGGCCTTGGGCCCCACCCCTCCCGGCATGGGCCCTGCCACCTTCGCTGGGTCTTTAGGGATCACACGCCAGAACACCAGTCCCGCGGGAGGTGCTAACTCGTGGTCCCGAGCACCGGCAGCAGCCAGCTCCACCACCTGGGACTGTTCAATTGGCTGCGACCACAACACCTTCTGGGGCGGGCCTGAGGGCTCGTACTATCCCACCACCTGGGACACGGGGTTGCATACAGATCGCACCAAGTCTTCGAAGGAGTACCAGAGTTCAGATTTCCCCGCTTCCTCCGAACCGAGCCAGCAGTCGGACCGCGCAACTTCAGCTCGTTACCCCAAAACTAACCACCGAGGTGAGAGGTCCGCAAGATTTCGCAGGAAGCTAAACGGCAGGCTGTTGAGGCGGAGCCTACGCGCCTAAGGGGGCGGGACCGTGAGAGGGCGGAACTTAGATGCCTTAGCTCTGGAGAGTGGAGACGCGGTTGCCCTCACTCCTGAGTACTGAAGAAGGGGAAGTGACCCTGGTCACCTAGGGAGCAAGGGACAAGGACCTAGGCTCCTGGATTAGGTGAAAAGGAAAGACTTGAGAGGCTGGATGAATGGGTCTTCAAGGTGGGGCAACCTGAGCCCCGGAGGCCAATCCTTGGGTCCTTATATAGAGGGATTTGGACTCGCTGGTCCGGGGAGGGAGCCCGGACGCCTGAGTCATCGAAGCGACCTGGACCGGGGCCAGAAAACCTGAGTGTTCACCTGCCTCCACCCCGCAGGTCAAATTCAGCTGTGGCAGTTCCTCCTGGAGCTGCTTCAAGACGGGGCGCGTAGCAGCTGCATCCGCTGGACGGGCAACAGCCTCGAATTTCAGTTGTGTGACCCCAAAGAGGTGGGCCAGCCTCGCAGACCCGCCAAGTCCAGCCCCAGTCTCCTCTTGTTCAGCCTAGTCCATCCATTCATTTTGCCTAGTCTTTGGTCCCTCCCCAGACGCGTCCTCACCTGAACCCAGCTAGCTCCGCGCCACCTAGCCTGTGTCCCGACTATACTCGAACCCCGCCCCCCGCCCACCTATTGCCAAGCCCTCCCCCTCCTACCTTCTCGGCTAAGCTCTGACTTCGCCGTAGGTGGCGCGGCTGTGGGGCGAGCGCAAGAGGAAACCTGGCATGAATTACGAGAAGTTGAGCCGAGGCCTGCGCTACTACTACCGCCGCGATATCGTGCGCAAAAGCGGTAGGAGCAAGTACACCTACTGCTTCGGGGGCCGGGTGCCCGGCCTAGCTTATCCAGACCGCTCCGGGGGCGGACAGGGCGCAGCAACCCAATAAACATATCCGGTCAAACCTCCTTCGTGTGCTGCCTGCATCCATCCCAACGACCCTTAGACCTTCTGGGGAGCCTGCGTGCACCCCCATGCAACACTCCACACCTCCCCCGCCCGCCACCCACCGCCTGTGTGATCCTAAGACTCACCAGACCAAAACAGACGCAGACCCTTAAGGGACTTACTGTGTGCTCATTGTATGATGGGACATACTAAGGAATCTAACTCAGTACCTCCCTAGGATCTACTGTGTACCTGCCCTGTGCTGGGACTTGTAAAGAATCAGACCCAATCACTGGTGAGTTTACCTACTCTATCCCCCTTGAGAAAAGAACTGAGGCTCCCAAAAGGGCTTACTGTGTACCCTCCCAGTGCTAGGGACTATCAAGGAATTAAATGTAGTGCTTAGCCCCTCAAAACCACCTACTGTTTCCCCACCCAAACTGGGGGACATAGAACTCAGACCTAGACCCCAAGCAGAGCCTACCATAGTCTGGGAACTGCTGAGCTCCTAAAAAGAGCCAGCTCAGTGGTCTTCCTGTTGACAATGCTGGGGATTCAGCAGTGACCAAGACAACTCAGCCCTGCCCTTAAGGAGCTCACAGTTCAATGGGGTTACAGACCCATTACCAGATGGGGGCAGCCCAGACTGGTCAGGGCTGGGATGGGGAAACTCCAGGGGACTGGGGAGACCTGAAAGGAGGGACCTGACCTAGCCTGAGGAAGGGGAGGCCAGGAAAGACTTCCTGGAGGAAAAAACAGCTTACTGGAGAAGTCAGGCAAAGAATATTCCAGGCAGAAGAAACAGCAAGAGCAAAGGCCTGAAGGTAGATCTCACAACACTGTCCAATGAACTAAAATGTTAGTGTGGCTGGAGAAGCGACAATGGAGCATTTCACAAAGAATGTTTGGGGTCACAGTAAGGAGCCTGGACTTTGTCCCGAGGTCACAAGGGAGCTATGGGTGGGTTAAGCAGGGAGAGGATTTGGACTTTAAGATGTCATTGAAGGGAGTGAAAGAAGGCATGCAAACAGGTAGTCCCACAAATAGTAATAATGTTGATGAACATGGAATATTTAAGGAGCCCCTGACCCAATAAGGCCTGGGCATTGCACCATATGGGAAGCTTTGGAGGCCAAGACTGAGAGGAGGATGAAAGCTGCCCTCTCCGTTAGGCACTTTATTCACACAAGAAATTCACTCCATCAATGTGCCAGGTTCTGGAGATACAGTAGTGAATAAGACAAAAATTGCTCCTCTACAATCTATTATATTGAGGGAGACAGAAGAAGGTAATTAGAATAAAAGAAAAGATATCGTATCTGAGAAGATAAGTGCTATGGATAAGTAAAGTAGGGAAGGGAGATAGAGGTTGACAGATGGCAACTTAAAATATCTGAACTGAGAGGGGCTCACCAAGAAGGTGACATTTGAGCAAAAAACTGAAGGAGGTGAGTCAGGGAGCCAGCTGCAGGAAGAGCATTTCAGGACAAGGGAACAAGTGCAAAGGCCCTTAGGGAGAAGCCAACCTGCATGTTAAAGGACCTTTTAGGCCAGCTCCCAGGCTGGAACAGTGGGAGTCAGAAGATGGGTAGGAGATGTTGACTTAAATAAAGAGGTAAACTGAGGCAAGCTAAACAAAAAATGAATTTATTCTGGAATAGCAGAAGAACTGCAATTCAGGACAGGCAAACTATAGCAAGCTACAGGCAAGCCCGAAGCACATCCAGAGAGACAAAGGGAAGGTCAGCTTTTATTATGTTTTAGGAGGAAATTAGAGAGGGGTGTTTTGAACACAAGTCCATGAGAAAAGAACAAGAGTTTGAGGTTGCAATGAGTTCTCATTGGCTGCAAGTGTTGGCCCAGAGTGTTGGTGCTAGGGCAGGGAGGGATCTTCCTTTTTCTTTTTTTCTCTCTCTCTTTTTTTAAACAAGAGATAAATTCCCATGTGAAAAATATCCTCCTTTGAACCAGATGAAAAGTAACATTGTTATCATCACAGACAAAAACTTGAGAAACAGATCTTTTTAAAATAATTCTTACCTTCCTTTTTTGTTACGCATGCTGCAACAAATAAGGGCATGAGAGCTCTTCCTTCAGGGTTTCCCAACTCCATTTTTAATAAGGTTTCCTCTATCAGTTTTTACAAAGATGAGGGTATAAAGGGGGCCCAACTGTGTAGGTCATATGTGAGGACTTTCACTATAGTCTAAAAGTCTGACCAGACACCAGGGTAGGGTTCTAGGCAAAGGAAGGGAGCTGATCTTACTGAGGTGTTAACAGGGCCCCTCTGGCTGAGTGAACTGACGGTGGAGGGCAGCAGAGAAGCTAGGAAGCCAGGGAGTGGGCTACTATCATGTTCCAGCCTGGAGGTGCTGGTGGCTTGAACCAGATGTGGCAGGAGATTCTGAGTATATTTTTAGAGGCAAAGCCAACAGGACTTCTCGATAAGATCAGCTATAGGGTGTGAGAGAAAGATAGGAGTCAAGTACAACTCTGTCCAGAAGAGTTGCCATTTTCCAAGATGGACTGATTTCTGCCAGACCCTTCACGGTACCATGTCTTAACTCTTAACCCCTCCTCTCCGTGATGCAGTACTGATTTCTGAGTCCTCAGCCACTCAAATCTTTTCAGGATTTGGAGGTGGAGTCTGGGTGTTCTTCTTCTTCTTTTTTTTAAGATTTTATTTATTTATTTTTTAGAGAGGGAAGGGAGGGAGAAAGAGAGAGAGAGAAACATCAATGTGTGGTTGCTGGGGGCTGTGGCCTGCAACCCAGGCATGTGCCCTGACTGGGAATCGAACCTGTGATGCTTTGGTTCGCAGCCCGCGCTCAATCCACTGAGCTATACCAGCCAGGGCTTGGGTGTTCTTCTTAACATGAAAAAATGACCCTGGGAAAGAAGACTGGTTCCTTTTCAACACTGTAGCAATTGACCGCACAATAATCATAATGAGGGTACAGATTGTTTGTTGTCTTTTATTCAACAATGCATCTCCAACCCTTAGTACTTGGCATTTAATAAATAATACTTGCACGAATAAGAGTACATTCGCTTGGGTACTTCCCTAGGTCCATTCTCGAGCCAGCCCCAGGACCCAGACAGAAATCCTTTCTCCAGGTAAAGCCAGGGGAAGGACAACCCTTAACTAGCGGGTGTCCCAATCCCCAGCTCAGAGGTCTTCCAAATGCTATCTATGCAATCTCATGACTGGGTCTAGATTAATGATGAACAGCCATTTAGCCCAATAGAAGATTGGGATTCGCATAAATGGGTGTGGCCTTAATGGCCTCAGATACCGCCTCCCCTGGGCGCTCTAGTGAATGGAAGACTCGCTTATAACCCGCACGGCTTCCGGTCCGTCTAAATTCCGCTTCCGGCCAGACGGAGGCGTCTTTGCTGAGGGTCACATTGAGCTGCGAGCGGCTTCAGGGGCGTCTTTAGGTGAGTGTAGAGGGTCGGGAACCTGGGATCCCATCTTGGGTGATTGAGGAACCGGCCCCTAGCTTCCCCGAGAACGAGAGGTTTCCGGCTAGCGGCCTTCAGTCTTCCGGGGCCCTGGGGTCCTGTTTGTGTTAGTAGTCGTAGATAACGATTCTTCCTTAATGCGGGTCAACATTCCAAATGATTTATATTGTAGTTTAGTCTCCCCGCCAGCCTGTCATTGTCCCTTTTGACGGTGAGACAATTGAAGCTCAGAGATATTAAGCTACTTAGCCAGCGACCAGGCTTGGATTTAGTAGTTTGGCCTGCCGTGCCCTTAATCATCGGGCCGCAGGCGTGACTCCCTGCGGCTTGCCTGGCCGCAGCCTAGCCAGCCTGGTGTCTGGCCCCTCCTTTCCTCCTCGAACGTTGAATGGACCGCAGTGTGACCCCGATCCACCTTCACTCCAGATAATGGGCCAAGATCTCGCCCCAGATTACTCTTCCACCAGGTCCGCATCCCCGCTGCTGGTGTTCTGTATTCCCCTCCCGACTTCTCCTTCCCCCACAGTATTCTGTGGCCCCAGATCCCCACTACTACCTTGGATCAATTTCATTTAACACTGGCTTGCGCACCTCTATGTAAATTTACGACTCCTCCAGTTCTCTGAAATAGAGGCACTTTCTCTCAGATTCCCTGGTGAAATATGTGTCACCTCATGAGCCGTTATAGCAAAGGGTTTTAAGTTTTATTTATTTAACTTTTAGAGAGGGGATGGGAGGAAGAGAGGGAAACATCACTGTGTGGTTGCCTCTCCTGCATCCCCTACTGGGGACCTGGCCAGCAACGCAGACATGTACCCTGACTGGGATTCGAATGGGTGACTCTTTTTGGTTTGCTGGCTGGCACTCAATCCACAGAGCCACACCAGCCAGAGCAGCAGAGGTTTTTTTGACCCTGAGTCCACATAATCTATAGAATTCAAGGAGTTCTAGTACTCAAATGGGAGGGGGAATTACATCTGTATTTTCAATAATCTCATTAAAATGTAACATTTGCTTCCGATAGGCATGGAGGCAACCACCTCAGGAATATTAGCATCTATGACTTTGTCAGCATCGAAATCACGTGTCATCCTATATCACATTATGGTTGCAAGTAATACAAAATATCTCCACTCGTGATTACTTCAAAACTGTGGTAGTTAATAAATCCTTGGCTACATATATGTCGACTTTTTGTGAGCCTGTGCAGTTTTTTTAAAGCATTTAAACATATTCTGAGAAAAGGACCAGTAGACCCCTGAAGAATCCATGGCACCAAAAATATTAAGAATTTCTTCATTGTGCGTTTTGTCGATGATTGAGTACAGCTTCACCACTTGTATGCTGTATGACCTTGAGAAATCATTTAAACACTGGTCATCCCTTGTTTGTGAAGCAGTGATAGTAGTTCTTACCTTTTATTAGATTGGCTGTAGAAGTAAATTTGGAAGAGTATAGGACAACACCAGGCCTGTGATCAGTACTTAATGAGTGTTAGCTAGTGTTATTTTGTGACAGATAAGGCCTGATTTTACCAAGGACTTGATCCTCCCTCCAAACCTTGCTGTGACTTCCACATTTAGATATGTGGATTTGCCCTGCCTTTAACTTTTGTGTGTGTGTGTGTGTGTGTGTGTGTGTGTGTGTTGAAAGGGAGGGAGGGTG